TGACCCGCTATCAAGATGGAATAAATCTATATAATATAAAAGACGACAAAGGGATATTTTTTATTGAACAAATAATTCTAACCTACGATATTCAAATCAATCATCACTTTTTTAATCGGTTTCATCCCATGCAAGGCAGAAAAGCCACAAAGACACGAAGGGTTACAGGATGTGAAAGAATTAGGAACAGAAACATTAATAATGAGTGGGAAGAGAAAAGAGTAATCAGGAGGACAGTAGATAGCGATTAACATTGAATTTAAATTTTTGCAGATTAAAGTTGGCTGGAAAACATGGATTCGGAAAGGAGAAGAGCGAAAAACGAAACTGTTAACATAGAATTTACGGTTACATTTTGACAGCTCAACAGTAAATTGATGAAATCTCGACGCATGAAAAATTTAATCGCTTACTTCATATAGCATCCACAAGATTAAAAAGTATATAAAAATTTTAAGCATTTAAACTTTTCATGATTAATCTTTCTTAGTAAGAATAGGTAAGGAAAATATAGAGTGCGATGGGTAAAGTGTCGCCATTTTATAATTTAATTTCTCGCATGCGCGTTGTTTGTTTTTGTTGTGGATTCAGGGTTGAAATCCGATACCAATAAATAACAAACGCCAGGAATTAATATAGGAAAATAATGTATTAACGTAATAATACAAACTGGTAATGCAGGTTAGTAGTTCCAGGAATACGGGTTAGTAGCAAAATATATATACAGTCTTTGCAGTATCGCTGCATGACTTCTTACTGAGTCTACGTGTTACGCTCACTGTGACTCCTACAACGTCACCCTCACTCTTCCGGTTACCTACAACCTTTTACTCTGTCACTCTGGACTCAACTCTTAGGTCTTGCTCTCCTCGGGTATTCACTGGCAGTAGTATACGTATACATTGGGTGAATCCATTTGTATAAAAAGGGGTGGACCCCTCAACAGTTTTTTATTTTTATTTTGACGACTGCGTAGTATAGTAGAATCAGTTGGGCACCGTTTGTGAGAAAATGATCACAATGATGCAATTCACTCCGCGAGAAATATGGAAACGGCATGCTGTACTGCTTGGCATTCACACCGGAAGCTGCAATAAGAATATTTCATAGTTTTTGGGTGACAATCTAAAGACATTGCAGAGGATTCTGAAAGAGTTAATTGAGTCTAATGGTGATTACAAAGGTGTTTGGAGTGATCACTAGCAATGAGGACGTTTTCCTTCCATTTATCTTCCCACAGGACCTGACTCAACATGGAGGTCGACATCAAGTACCTTGAAGAGGACAGCCTGGGTCAAGAGGGTGGCTGCCGGAAGACCCTATGTCTTGACAACAGGACTCTGCACCATGCCAACAAACAGCAGCAGAATTCAGTCATGGATGTCAGACAATTTCTGCGACCACATCACATCTTACATCTGGCCACCTAACTCCCCACACTGCAACCCCCTTAGTTATTATGGGTGGGGCGCATTTGAGCAACAAAACTCCTTGTAATACCAAAGTTGAACTGAAGGCAAGTATTATGGAAGCATTCACCATCTCAAAGAAAGATACCGTCCAGAAAAATTTCAGGAGATTCCAAATTCTTCTGCAGGCCAATGGCGATTTTATTGAATAAATTTACTTTTTAGTATTTCAAGATATGTTTGTATAATTTTGGTAAATATATCTCTTAAAATGAGATGTCAGTGTTATTTTCATTTTTACGTAATTTAGAGGACAATTTATTTATCACACCCCGTATTTTGAATTTAATTTTGTAAAAATTAAGTATAATCTTTTTTACTGTAAGCATGACGACTAAAGGGCGTGGCTCTCACCTTTAAGATAAATCAACTACAATTCTTAACTGTGAAATACTAATTTCCCCACTGCATCACCCTCCTTTTTATCTCTTTTACATAAAACATATTTATCTGTGTAACTTATGATAAGCTCGTCTCCGGGGAAGAGAAACGCTTTTTGATTTAGTCTGAGAAATGGAAACCAAACGGTTTAACTAATCTCCTGGTTTCGTAAACAAGTTTTTATCTTCGTCTTAGAAGACAATAAGCAGAAAGCGGTGTAAAGTTTCGAAATGCAAAGAGAAATTTTCACTTGTGTGCATTCTTTTGTCTACTGTTGGAAGATAAACACAGGCAAATTGGTGGCAAATATTAACAAAATTACTGAGTGAAACTGCGTCACTGATGTTAGATACACAAACGGATAGATACATACATAGACAGATAACAGACCGATCTATCTCTATCTATCTATCTATCTATCTATCTATAAAAAGAATACCCGCTCGGCCCGGTGGCTAGGATCAAAGTGTAGTATCTGCGCTTTGTGAGCTGCCGGGTCGGGTGTCTGTCGAACTCTCTGCTTGCAGAGGGGAACCCGGACGAAGCTCTGCCGAAGGGTAGGGTTTCGTTCGGGGAGGTTGACGGAACTAGCCCCTTGGACGGGTTTAGATGGGGTTTTTTTTGGCTGGGCCTACGGGCTCAGACATACC